TTTCTGGGAAGAAGCAGCACTATGATCTCTTTCCAAATAATAATCCATAGCTTCCACATGTCCCTCATTTGCAGGGGACCAGATGATCCTCCAATGAGCCCTGAATATGTAGGGCAAACATTAAATAAAATCCAATAAGATCTAAAAGTGTAGGAAATGGGGTGATCTGAGGACTGAAGGTGCACGCCCAAATATTAACTACCTCCGGGCCGGCCATAGTAAAATGTCTCCATAAAGCGGACCTGTCACATATTTTGCTATCACATAGGGTGGTTTCATTAGCCCCCCTATGTGATAGCAATAAAGTTTAGTGGGGAAAAAAAATAGGAAAAAAAATGTAGTCCCCCCCCCAATTTTTTTTTAAAGTTACACATAAAAAAGAATACATTTTTTTTTTTTTAAGTCCCCACCCATACATACACGCATGCAAACATGCGACGGGGTCGCATACGTGCAAAAAAGACGATTGCGCCCATTACGCCGCACATGTTACATATCGCCGCGAACGTCGAAGTGAGAGCAATACTTCTAGGGCCATCAATCACTGATAACACTAAACTGATGAGCGGTAAAAGCTTTTAAAGTGTCGCCTATGGCCAATTTTGGGTATGGTAGTTTTCTGCGATGTCGCGAGTGCACGCAATTTTAAATCTTGATATGTTTGGTGTCTATTTACCAGACGTGACCACATCTTTTATATTTTACCAAAAAACTGGGTAATAATAAATGTTTCCTAACATAATGTAAAAAAACAAATTTCAGTCATTTTTCCTAATTATATTAAAAAATAAAAACCCCAGTGGTGATTAAATACCACCAAAAGAAAGCTCTATCTATCCCCCAAAAATGGTATAAAATTCATTTCAGTACATTGTTGCATGAAGGAATAAATGTCAGTCAAAGTACTGCAGCGCTGAATACTGAAAAATGGCCGGGACAGGAAGGGGGTATAAACACCTCGTCTTGAAGTGGTTAAGAGATGCTTAGGCACGCCAAGTTCTTCCTTCCTCTGATGGGCCACAGTGTCCCTGTCCACCCCTGGCAGGGATGATACCTTTTTTGCAACCAAAACCCCCTGTCCCTCTTTCTTCCTCAGTTGTTCCTCTTTTAGGTCTGATGTATCAACCTTGATAAATAAAATGTAAAATGTAACTGCCAAAAGTGTTAACTTACACTAAACCAATCATCTAACCTGTATATTATTGCATTTGATATTTTCAAAAGCCTTTATAAAAGAAAAGTATTGATAACTAAAAGCACTTGTGGGGGTAACTGTTTTTTTGTGTGTTAATTTTAACTTTTCATAGACTATGTACCTGGGAAGGAGGGGGGGAGTGGCAAGGGAGCATGTATTCTTTGTCTACATTGTCCTAAAAGGTGTCTCGCTTGTCATCTGAGTATATTGGCAATAAGACCCATTTTTACCGCCCAGGTGGCAGTCTTCCTTATGGATGGTACCTTGGAAGAAACTACGGACCTGATATCTAAGATGATGGAGCAGCCCACAGGCCAATGCTTGGCTACTATGACTGTGTGTGTATAGAGACAGACAAGAAGCGTTGTCTACAGACACCTCAAAAATTGCCTATCCATAAACCCAGAGGCTTCCTACCTTTACTAAAACCTTCATTAATATCACCCCTACCATACCTAAGCTAAACTGCACTAGCTCTCCCCTCACTACCAATGGTGCTTGTGGTATGGAGGAGCATGTGATCTCCTATCATGTGACAGTGCTCGCATTTAGCAGTCAATTCCTAGACCCAAGCAGTGTTGCATAACTAAGGGATCGATGTCACCACTCCCTTTGGTATCTAACACTAGTCAACACTTGGCATTTTAGTGCCAGCTGCAATGGAGGCAGGAGTGGGGAGAGAACATTGGCAAGGTGAGTATTAGTGGGTTGGAGAGCCTTTACAAAGCCACCTTAACGGGCAAAGTGATCATGGGGGTTTACCCAGGGAGTAAGGGGGGTGTTAGTGATCCTGGGGTTAACCTGGGTTTAAAGGCAGGGGTGTTAGTGATCATGGGGGTTGACCCGGGTTTTATGGCAAGGGTGTTAGTGATCATGGGAGTTGACCCGGGTTTTAAGGCAGGGGTGTTAGTGATCATGGGGCCTGGTCCGGGCTTAAAGGCAAAGAGGTGTTAGTAATTATGGGGGTTGACCAGGGGACTGGGTCCTATTTAAAAAATGATCACCAGGAATGAGCAAGGTGACAGTGTCCCTTTATATCAGCGTAACAGCCAGGCAACTAGTATTTTATAGAAGGGAAGTCAGAAAAAACACCTTCCAGGTCTCTCTCAGCACAGATGTCTTTTAATTGCCTTTCTCTACCATTTACACAACATAATTGGTTGAGGACACTCTATGCTGAATGATTTACGAAGCCCCTCTAAGTTCATCGTATGTTATACGCATGTCAGGGATGCAAATGTCAGCGACTTCCTGGCGTCATATATAACGGCGGCGGGGGCCGGATTTAGCATGTGTCGCAGTGTCATTAAGCTGAGCTGATTGCGATCACATTAACCTTTATATAGTTCTAACGTGTGCCGAGCTCTCAGCCTCTGTCCATTAATTGCTTCTTCACTACTTACAAATCACTAATCCAATAAAATTGTCACGGGACTCGCTCCCTGCAATGCTTATTCAGTGGTGCCAATGGCGCGGTGACACCTCCTCACCCTCCGGTAGGCAGGTATCACTCAAGGCTCATTGGGCCTTATAACAGAACGTTTACTCTATCAATTGTCCCCAACTGCCCTCTTTCACTCATACAGGAAATCTTCCATTCAACCTTTCATCGAGAAGGTGCTTCATATACAGCCCCGTCCTCTCATTCCACCGAACAAATCAACTCATTATTGTCATTTCGTATTCAATTACTGCCGTTATTACATTACGGCACGTTGCGTTCCGTTTTAACCGAATCATCGCGACGGAAGGTTAGTTTAACCCTTTCCCCAGAGGAGACGTGTTCAACCGAGGCACGACTTCATGAAGGCAGGTCTGGTCGAACGTTGCGGTATGGATTTTTTTTTTTTTTGCAAGGTCTTTCTTTTAACGCTTCCGTCGCCAAAACTGCCGGCGCTTCCTTCATTAATAGATAACGCAGATCTCGAAGGCGGCCCCTTGTCGAGATTTTGGATTTGATGGCTGCATGGCGTTGGCCCCGTAGGGGTTAACCTGCGCGTATACAGTGAGCTATGCAGGCCGCACAGCTGGGCTGTGATCAATATTTTTCTATCAGTGTGCAATGTCCCAGACAGGAGTGGGGGGAAGGGTATGGATGGTGGACTGACCAGATGGGGACGGTAGACAAGGAAAACAAGCAATGGGGGGATATCAGGCGCTGTACCTTGTGAAATCTATAACATAATCAACCGCGGCAATACAGCTTTATTGATAATTACCCGCACAACAAGATACACACATGAATATAACATTACCTGGGATTAGGGATTAATAATGTAGCACCATCCTTATGCTACAAGTGAATCACTAAATAAGAAAAATTCTAGCAAGGCTCATGTTCGTTATAGCGAAGAGTGAACGCCATTATTTCACATCAAATGTCGTAATGAACACTTGTGTGAAACTGAGTACAGTTATTTAAATACAGCCGTCTTGATGTGATGCTACTAGTCATGGCCCTTAAAGCTGAACTCCAGGCTGAACAGCTAAGCAAACAGATTAGATGAATACATGGGAGCTGTTATAGCTGCCCAAGGCTTTTTTATTTCTGTCCATCCGGTTGTGACATTTACACAGCTCCGGCACACAATACAGGCCTGTCTGGCAGAACAGAAGACCTGATTTTTTGAGCTGCAGTTTAGTAGCATTTACAGGTTTCCTTGCCACCTTGTGATAGGACAGTGGAAGGAAAAGCAGTAGACTGATGAGCTCACCTCTCTGTAACCCTGCTCTCTCCTTCCATGAGCATGACCTTGACTACTGAGGCTGCTTTTCCTTCCTCCAGTCTGAACTTTGCTGTACAGGGAATGCAAGAGGCTGAGACTGAGTCAAATTCAGGTGCTTACGGTGCTTGCATTTAATTAAAAATAAATTTAAAGAATAAGTGCACTTTCAAACAAAGTGCACCTATTCTTTTTTTGTCCCCTTCCTCTGAGCTAAAAGGTGCCAGTCTCCCTCTCCCAACAGATGCATACTTACCTTAGTCAGATGTCCATAGCCTCCTGTATTGACATCAATAGGCCTCTCTCTCCTGGCCACTCTACGGGGCTTGTCTCCCAGCCAGGAGATGGAGGTAGATGCAAGCCATTGAAGTCTTTGGGCGTTACTGTGCATGACTGGCCAATATAGAGAGGATGGACAGGATGTAAACAATCCCCAGAGAACATGGTTATTGGTTTAAGGTAAGTATACGTCTGCGGAGGGTGGGGATGGGACCTGTTAGGTCAGGGGACAGGGGCAAAAAGGATAAGTGTACTTTGTTAATTGTGAAGTGCGGTGGTAAGTAGTCAGTATATATGCCTTTAATCCATTGTAAATCCACTTCTAATATGGCCCTCATACTGTACATACTGTAGCAACCAAAGCTATATAATGCAGTTTAGGAAACACATGCATACCAAGAGCCTTATGTGCACCCTAAAATTAAAAAAAATGTCAAATAGTACCTACATTCTAAACTTAGGTCAACTTTACTCAAACAGGCACTGAGGAACAAAGCTAGAGGCCATAAAGTGTGTATAATCTTATTTATCAGTTGTAAAAAGCTGATGCCATAATCCTCCAGGTTACATGACATGAAGTCGTAGTGTCAGTGCGCTGGGGCACCCACAGAGGCTTCAGTCAAAGTAATGCAGAGGTCACATGACCAGGAACCAGAGCTTAATAAGACCTATTTTTACACCTGAAAGATAACCTTCTTTCCATTTATAATATGATGATGTGAGGTTAGGTTTACCCTTATATGTGCTCTCTGAAAAGACTATGATCGCTTTCCATTAAATTCGCCCACTTTTCTGTTTTACAGCTTGCAAAAGGAAAGAGCAAGAGCAAAGCAAAGCCGAAAGAAACCACGTGCCTAAGCGGCACCGCCTGGTCTTCACCGACATCCAACGACGCACACTGCATGCCATTTTTCACGAGAACCAGCGGCCCTCCAAAGAGCTGCAGATCACCATTGCACAGCAGCTGGGCCTAGAACTCTCCACTGTTAGCAACTTCTTCATGAATGCACGCAGGAGGAGCCTGGACAAGTGGATGGAGGAGGGTCACGGGCGCCCGCCTTCCTCCTCCGGCTCTTTAGCCTCCAAAGGTGGTTCGGCCATTGCTTGCACCAAAGCATGAGACGATGCCTACTACGCTATCAACCAAAGATAGTACCCGCTCAGCCTCCATAGTCATCCCTTCTCCATTCTTCGGGACACCGTCTCCAAGAACGTTGACCTTGAGGGGTCTTAAGAGGACTTGTAAAGGTGACGAGTGACTGACTGCCCGTTCTGTACTCGAGAGTCTTTCATTTTAGTCGTTTCGGCTGACACCTCCTCTTCTGTGGAGATCTGTGGGTACAGAACGGTTTGTACACATTATTTATTTATGTATTTATTTTCTATGGCACTGTCAGCACACAGAGTGCACTACAGAAAATACAGGTATCATGTTTTAAAGCCCTTTCAGCAATGACTTGGAAGACATAAGACAAGGGGATCGGTTGGCCGCCAGCCAAGGATTCTTATTGTAGTTCTTTTGCTTGAGTCACTAGGCTAAGGAACAACATATAGGTTGTTCTTTTAGGCCAAACACAGGTTTTCACGCGACACTACAGCCTGATTCATGACTTACCTAAAACCTTTTCAGGCTATGCATTCTTGATAGATGTGGGTGGAGCTGTAAGAAGACATAAGGCAGGCTCCTGTCGGTCATGTACATTGGCAAAATTACCTATTATGGGGTCGGTTTCACACGCCATATCCATTTCTCTTTGATGTCGCACTGCTATCATGCATCTTGGCTGGCAATTGTTGTATGACACTACAAAAAAAAAAGAAAAACACAAAAACAAAAAATACCCTCTACCTCTCTTTTGTAGCTGGGAAAGGTGGGCTGTTGAGGTGCTTCACATTAACCTAGCCTAAGGCTTCATATTCCTATTAGGGCCGAAACGGTTACCAAAGTTTTTTCTGTTGAAAATAAAAAGGTCCATAGGCATTCAAACTTTTTTTTTTTTTTTTTACTTTAAATGGTGTTGAGCGAGGAGAACTTTGAAAAGAATAAAGACCACTCTGATTGTGCATGGAACAAATAACTCTTCACAAACAAAGGTCCTCCTAGAAATTAAATTAATTTGCCTTTAGTAATACTTTAAATCAGATCTTACATGAAAATTGGAAGGTCAACTTATGTTGATGCCCCCAAAACCTCAGTGAAAGCTATAGAGAATAACATTTTTGAAAAAAAAGGTAAAAAAGAAACTTACCTTAAACTTCAGCTTTCGGAAAGCTCTGGCCCAGGCGAGGGTGACCTTGTTGGACCTTCTTGCTGAAGGCTGAAAAAGCTGGTTCTGAATGCCAAAAGAATGACCTCCTGAACAGTGCTGGAGCAATTTCTTGAGAAAGGCCCAGTGATGTCACCGGAGTCTACAGGAAGTGACCATAAATGGTTAGAATTTCATTCGAAACTTAATATGAAATTCAGAGAAATTGTTCGGCATAGCATTAGAGGATGCCATCAGTTTTTTTTTTATTGATCATGAAATCACCAAAAGAATAATGCAAATCAAAGTTTATTGAAATTTATAAGTATATTGTATAATTAGCAGCATATAATATTATATGCATTTGGTTCATCAGTCCATTTGGTTGTATTGACTATACTACATAAAAAAAATGAATGTTTCAAAAAAGATGGTTTTCAAACTAAATTCTAACTGTGTATGGTTACCTTAAGATAAGAATTTTTTTAAAAATGTTTTAATTATTTTAATTATATTTATTTAGCTTTTTATTTTTTTAAGCTTTCCTGGGAGTTTTTGGTGGTTGGAGGCTGCAACATAAGCAGACCTTTCATTTTCATGCAAGTCCACTTGCATGACTTATCCTCAGATGGGATCATTCTACAAAAAATGTCTGCCATATTAAAACCACTATCATGTTTTTATTTCTGTCCTTGCTGGGATTGTCCCTCATTTCCTGCCCCTTGGCCTCTGTCACTAGGAACGGAAGTGAAGGGAATGTCCTTTATAGAGGCACAGATAGCAATAACCATAAATTGAACTACAAACATTTTTTTATATTGTTGTGTCCCCAGTTTTACTTCCTGTTCTGGACATGGGTTGTGTTACCTGTCTCCACAATATGCAAAACTAAAAAAGGGTTGTTGCATCTGATGAATTTGTTTTAAAGTTGATCTGTATTTTCCCAATACTAGACACCAGGTTTGCCTTATAGTAAGCACCATAGGTAGGTTTTTCTGACCTTAGGAGACCAGAAAGCTGCCCATCGTCAGATATGGGGAAGCACATGACTCCCTGTCCCTCCCTATAATGGAGCACTGAGTACCTGAACTGCCAATTGCAAGGTCCCAGTACTGTCACATGGAGGGAGGGAAGCTTGTTGAGCTTCAGGCAAGTTTCAACTTAAGCTCTGGGGTAGTCTGGCAGCAGATCATGCAGTGGGGGATGTAAGCGTAGCCTTTCCATGGTGCCTACTATAAAGCTGGCCTAGTATGGTCAAAGTACAGGTTCACTTTAAACTGACCACACAAAGGCAGAGCTTTTATTGACTAAAGACATGTAATCTTCTAGCACAGGGTGAAAGCTAGTTGTTTTTTGCTTGATCAAACATCTCATGGAAGAAACTTTGCAGAGAGCTTTGAGGTTTCTGCAACATCATTGACACATTCAAAGCTGGTAATCAATTGACGCCCAAGTCTTGTGCATCGCTTGTGAACAATACAATCGGCATTAGAAGCCAAGCTACATTTTTTTGGACACTGCTGCCTAACGTATTGCTGTAGAAGGCCCAAATAATTAACTCTTAATTTGTTCTAAGAGAGCTTCGCCACCCGCAGTGGCCTCTGCAAAGAAACAGAAGATGTAATGATTAATAATTCCTCGCCCCCCAACAGCAACAGATCCCTGGCCACCCGCTTGAGTAGCGCTGACCCCAACCCCACTGGTGAAAATTCAAAGCCTCGCTGTGCAACTTTGAAGAGACGGTGACCTTTTCGCCTTCAGAAGCTGTGGACTGCAGTCTGGATGTACAGCCGGACCCACCCTGGGCTCTTTTCATTTTATTTCTGACCAGCTGACGGGGAATTAGTGAGTTCAATGGAACAGTGGGAGATGAGAGGAGGCGGAGGTTGGAAGGTCAAGGCAGTATCCATTCTCCAGAGTCACTGATCACATCCTCTGTGCGGGTAAATAACCCTTCTTACTCCAGAGTCATCTCCAATGCGTTGTCCTGACTCAGGGCTAAATTCACAAAGAGATGGATGGATGGGTGGACAAATTATTTTAACCCTGTTCATTATTTTATTTAATGATCATTTCAATTTTCAGTTTACAAAATTATTTCTGCTACATACTACTCATTCTTATATTTATCGGTACGTTAATGGATCAGTCCCACCAAAGAAGTCAACCCATTGGGTAGTTTTTTTATATCATTTGGAGTCTCTATTGGTAAGAACTCTGCACTATGCCAGTGCTGGTTACCATTCTCCTTGCTGAATTTTTTAAATTGTATATCATAAAGCTGGAACACACAAAGGTGGTTGGGAGCACTGAAAACTTTCAGGTGGACAGGAACAGATTCAGGAATTATTGCAGAAGGATCTCACAGTTGGAGTATCCAATACACATGAGAAGCTAGGGGCTTATTCAAGTTACCAGGCTCTGTCTATAACCAAAAGATTTGTTTTGGGTGGACTTGTCCTTTACATAAGTATATGGAGGTGCTTCATCAAAGCCCACATGCACAAGTTTTTTTTATATCTTTCAGTAAATGATGCTCTCTGGTATACAGGCTATTGACAGAAAGATATTAATTCCCGAATATGGGTGCCTTCATGAAAAGGATCACCATGACAATTATTGGCTACCTTAATGAGCCGACAAGAAAGTCCAGCTCTCTGGGTAGTACTATCCCACCTATTAATGTGCCATAGCCCAACATCTTGGGTCTGCTATCGTACTCCAGCCGCCAAAGAGAAGTAGCCCCAAAATAATTGTTCTAAGCCTTAGTCCACTAATCAATTAAATAATCACAATTTTTGACTCCATGGATTTTCTTATTTTCAATGGTTAGTCGAATCCTTTTATTTTGTCAATGAACTCTGGACAATTTGGCTGTCTGTGACCTTCCAAAAAAAGTGTTTAGATGCTGACCAGATAGCTTTATGACAGTACAGATGATCAATACACAAAGCTCCATCACGATACTAGACCTCAACACCACCTCAGCCAGTCATAGTGACTTAGATAGATTGTTACCCACCCAAACATGCATGGATATTAAGGAGGCATCATGTTTTGCACTACCATCATAACCTGATAATATATAATTTTATAGTAGACTTCATCAAGCACTACTCCATTATCCATCGGCGTGGCTAAACTGGCATATCAGTATAACTCTACCTCATTCTTGGGGGTTAGAATAAAAAAAGTCTTGACGGGTATTTCTAATACAGCTGTTGACCTACTTTGAGGTACAAGCTGAAGGCTACTGTCTCTGAAATATTGTTAGATATGTATTCAAACGTTTCCTAAAATGTCATTTCCTTGGCAGCCATCTTGGATCTAGCATGTTACCGGTAGGCAATGCTTATTATGGTTTCTCCAAAAGTGATAGGATAGCGTAATTAATGTTGCTTGGGGTTTGACCAATTCATTGTAATGTGCTTACTTTGATGAACCATTTTTTTTTTCTTTTGCATTAGTTCATGTCTCTCAATATGTCTGTCGCACTAAAATAAAATTGTTAAGATTCAAAATGGCTGTTCTGTAAATTTAAACTGGTTGGATACTTAAACGGAGAAAAAGTTTTCCGCCCTTTGTATAACTTATACCAAAGAATTTGCGTGTGACAATTGTTTTGTAGGCCACGAAAATTGCTTTTGTGAATTTGTTCAGCTTTTTCTTTTTTTTTTGTCTAAACACAAAACCAACAGGGTTAAAGGATAAGCGATGCCAAATCAAGGTCATTATTGGAGGTTTACATTACATATTGTCATGGACTCACCGAAACCTAAATATGTTCATCTGAACTAAGCTAATGAATAAATTGGGGACTTTCAAGGGATGAAGTTCTGAATGACAATGAAGGTAAACTAAATAATGGAACAATCAGGATTGCTGGATGACAATTCAATGTTCGAGGTGTTTTGTATATTACCAGAGTTAATTCACAATGTGCAATCCTTTTCAAACTTAACTT